GCCTGCTGCCCCAAAGCATGGCTGTGCCGTGTCAGCCTGTGGTGTGAAACCCAGCAGCACTGATGTGGCACTGGTGCTATTCCTTCCAGAAATGGGAAAAGGACAAGAATAAAAGAGCAGCCAACTGCCTGTGAGCTCATAGAAAACAACACAGAGGAGTCTGTGTACAATAACTGAAGATAAAGCAGCGCCCAGCCAGCCTGGATTCATAGAAGCACAGAACGGCTTGGCTTGGAAGGGAGAGGTTGGTTGGAAAAGATCTCTGAGCCCAAATGTCAGCCCATCCCCACCATGCCCAAAAGTGAAGAATCGGGCAGGTGGGCAGGAGCACCATCCCTAGGAGACATGAGGTGACACTCCTGTCCCGTGCAGCAGTGTCATGGCCATGGGAGCAGTGGGACCCAAGTGAGTGTGGCCATGGCCACAGCACCCACACAGGTGAGGGCTGGTGCTGCTGTGCTCTGTGTCTCCATTGCCACACAGGTAAAAGCTCTGTGCTGCCAGCCGTCTGCTTCCAATGGTGCACAGCTGCTTTGTGTGCACCACGACGCTTGTGCTGAGTGGGGCTGATAAATGTGTCATGGCAATTTGAGAGTGCTGAGGCTGGAGCAGAGCGTGCTGCTGCTGGCACTGCCCTGCCCTGCAACCCGGCTATTGCTGTGGGATCTCCACGTCACACAGGGAAAGCTCTCAGAGGAAAGATGGTCCTGGCAGCAAAAATAGCATCTCTGGAGCATCCGTGCTGCTGCTTCTCTGCATTTCTATTCTCTTGACCTCGAGGCTGTGTGGTGTTTGCTGCCGAGCTATTATGGGCGGTGAGCACCATGTTCTGCCTCCTCTTCTCCCAGGGAGAAAACACTTAATGGTTAAATGTATACTGGGCATCACTCAGTGAGTTCTGTGGTTGGAAATGCAGTCATATAGCAAATGTTTGGGCATGCGCAGACTTGGGGGTTTCAGCTTTCTCCAGGACAGCCCAGCCCAGCCCTGGCCTGTGAGCAATTCCCCTCTCTCTGGAAGAAGAAAAATGCAACCAACTTGGTGTTGTGGAACTCAAGTCTACGTGCCTCTGATCTCTTCATGGGACATTCTTAGTGTTCTGCTTTGGAAACTGAAAGAACCAAGTCCAATGGTGAAATGAGAGCTGAACTGCAGAGGTGCCTTTTGGAGAGCAGCTGGAGTGCATGCGCTGAGATCTGCCCCATGGCTTCAGACTGAGCCCTGGGCAGATGCACTGGGTGTGGGGCAGGATCTATTGGGAGAGCAGGCTGCTCCCAGCAGTATTTGGCTTCTCCTCTGCTTTGCAGACATCTGGGCAGTGAAGGCATCAGGGACTGGGTTGGGGGAGGCAGGGGCCAATGGCACAGCTCCTCCTGGACCTCCAGAGCTGCAGTGCTGTGTCTCACTCTGACCCACTGCTCCCGGTGTGGGGAGGTGTTCGGGTCCCACGGGGACCTCATTGCTCTGATAGCAAAGCGCTCAGCTCTGAGGAAACGCTGGCTCCAAGCGGCTGTGGGAGAGAAATGCCAAAAGCATCAGCACCGACCCAACGGAGCTCTGCTCTGCTGGGGCTGTGCCAGGGCAGAACCGTGTCTCATCCAGGCTGTGCCGTGATTTCTGCACCCACAGAGTGGGAGGAAAGCATCGTGTGCTGGGAGGATGAGGACTGTGAAATAAACAGTGATAATTGAAAAGCCTTCAAACAATGGCACAGTGGCTGTGTTAGCAGAGCTGGCAGCACCAGCTGAATCCAACCTGGGAATGTGAGCAGGTGATGTTGGGCAGGGAGCACGCAGTGTGCACAGCCTGTGTGTCCCCACAGCCCCGCTGCAGGGAGAGGCTTTGCTAAAGAAGGGGAGCATGAAGAGGGGAAAACAGCACAGCAAAGAGTGGTCCCTCACCAGGCACTGTGCCATTGGCTGGGCACAGAGCTGCAGAGGTGCTCCGATGTGTTGCCAGCAGCCCCCAGGAGAGGTCCAGACCTGGTGCAGAGGGTCCATCTTCGGTGTGAGTACACACGTGTGTGCACAGGGGGTGGCAGTGCACTCTAAAGCAGCGATGGTGTTTGGGAACTGCTCACTGCAGTGCGTGCTATGCAACCAACATTCCCCAGAGGGGATGATGAGGATCCGAATGGGGTCGTGCCACGATGTGCCTTGCAAACCTGGGGGCTGGCATCCCCTCCATGTCAAGCTGTGGAGCCCCTCACCCTCCACATTCACCCCAACTGCACTCGGTGCCATTGCTGCAGGATCTCTCCGGGAAGGATCCCACTGCCGTGCTGCGGCCCTAAAGCATTTCTTACCTCACAGAGACCTCTAGAGTCCACTCCGGCGCACGCGGCGTTTGTCCAGCCTCCAGTACGTGGTGCCGGCCCCACAGAGACTCCCCTGTTTCGTGCTGTCTGTGAATGTACCAAGGGTGTGCCCTGTCCCGTTGCCCAGACGTTTAATGGTGATGCGGGATGGACCGGACCCAGCTCTGAGCCCAGCAGCACTCTGCTCGTTGCTGACCTCCAACAGGCCGTGCCCCACTGCCTACTGGGATGGGGCTTGGTGCACACGGATGAACAGGGGCTGCTCCAGCACCCGTGGGGCAGCAGCAACTCCAGCCCTGCCTGGTGGGGCTGATGCTCTCAGTCCTGGTGTTTCCAGGTCCTCCCAGCTTGGTGCTGTGGGGCACTGGTCCCTCTGAGAACAGATCCAAACCGGAAAGTTACGGCAAACGTCAACAGGAACCTGGGCAGGACTGAGTGTGACTGGTACTGATGGTACCAGAAACCTGCCAGGTGTTCTCCAGATGAACGAGATGCAGAGCTCCTGCAGTGAGGGCTGAGCAGGAGATGGGCAGGGGGTGGGCAAAAGAGAGGCAGGAAGAGGCAGGGAGGAACAGGGCAGGTGATGGGCAGAGAGGGCAGTGGAGCAGGGCAGCACTTGGTGTGCAGATGATGGAAATACTGAAGGTATCTCTGCTGTCTGCTTGCACATATATTGTTCTGAGCCTGAGGAAGTACAGCAGTGGAACCATGCAAGAAATCACCGAATGATGGGCGTTGCACTGCAAAGCAAGTTGTACAGAATTCGCACTGCTGGTTTCATCCCAAAAGAACACAGTTACTCTCAATCACTTTGATTTGGTTTTGGGTGGAAAGCAATCATCAGTTCACAGAGTCCTTAGGACTTCAGGCTCATTTTTCTCCTGCATGGACGGATCTTCAACATGTCAGATGCAGGCAGATGTTTTCAGACCATCTTTTAGTATTGCTTTGCATCCTTCAAACAAAGTTGTTGTTCCAGTTCCTTTATTTGGCCACCATCTTGTATGTTAGAAATGCCTCTGCAATAGCAATGAGTTATGAATTATGCAGTTCTGGTGTTCTGGTCAGTGCTGGCCCAGACCAGCAGCTCGACCTGAGCAGAGACCTCTGCAGCTGCTGGGCAGTGTGAGCACATCAACGTGGCCGCTTCGCTGTTTGCAGATCATTGACTGTGGGTTGGAGTGAGAGGGAGGAACCCTTCCCACGGAGACAGGGGCAGAGCTGGGGCTGGGGACTGCTGGGGAGGTTTCAGAGCACAAGAAGCCAGCAGGCACCTGGTGGGACAATGCAGGGCCCATCAGCAGGGTGCTGCAGGCTCTGCTGCGTGCACTGAGTGGGAGTGCAATGCAAATGGTGGAGAGCAGGAAATGCCTTCACTCACCTGCAGGCTCACTTCTGGTTAATCTTTAATGCAGAACAGTTTAAAAGCCCACAGAACACCACAGCTCCCGCCGTGGTTTGGGAGGGGAAGGTTTAACCACAGCCCTCAGCCTTCAGGAGGGACCCGCACTGCACCCACTGGGGCTCAGCTGAGAGCTGGGCTGACCCTGTGGGATGTGTTGTGCCAGCATCGGTGTTTGGGCAAGGATTCCTGCTTGAAAGGAGCAGAAAGCAGTGAGCTGACAGGTGAGAGAAATCTGCTTCTGTGCCTCTGAGGGATAAGGGCTCCCTGCACCCCTGTAGGCAGGGCAGTCAGCACGGAATGGCTGCGGTGCCTGGGAATGTCTGGAGAGGTCCTGCATTCCTGCATGTCTGCCCCTGTTTGGCTCTTTGTAGCCTCTCTGGGATGGGTCAGGGATACAAAAAGGGGGGATAAGGACAAGGGGGAATGGTTGTAAAGTGAGACAGGGGAGGTTTAGGTTGGATATGAGGAGGAAGTTTTTCAGCCAGAGGGTGGTGAGGCACTGGAACAGGTTGCCCAAGGAGGCTGTGGATGCCCCCTCCCTGCAGGCATTCAAGGCCAGGCTGGATGTGGCTCTGGGCAGCCTGGTCTGCTGGTTGGCAACCTGCACACAGCAGGGGGTTGGAACTGGATGAGCAACCTTTTCAACCCAGCCCATTCTATCATTCTATGATTCTATGAAAAAACACTTTATATCATTTACAACTGGATCAACGTGTTTCTGTGGGTGGAAATAGAGGGATAAACTGGTCCAGCAGAAGTTCCAGGGGTGCTCACAACCCCTGGGGTGGTGGTTGTGTGCCAGCCACATCCAGGACGCCCGGCAGCATCAGAGCTGATTTTATTCCTGACTTAACAAGGAGCTCTCAGAAACTGATCCGAACAGATGGAGGCATTGTATTGTTTCATCAAGTGGGGCTGACAACTGCCTGCTGTCCGCCACAGAGCAAGCCAAGTGCCTTCTTGTGACAGTATGTAAGAGAGAGAACAGGACCCAACCTGTTGCACAGTTCATGTGGAGGGACGGAGAAGACGTTTTTCATTCAGACACAGTTCATGGGGGTTGATGGACAAAGATGAATAGATTCCTCTGTGCAGCAAAATGCACCAAGTGAGGCCCTGAGCCTCAGAACGGCTCCGTTTGGAGACCAGCTGGAAAGTGTATGCTGCACACAGCAACATTCATGTGTCAGTGGGTGGGCATGGGTTAACACACTGCATTATTTATCCTGCACTCTTTCCCTTACTGAGCAGAACTGGGCTGACGCCGGGAGCAGCAGCACCATGTACGAGCTCAATGAAAGCAGCTTCGACCCCATCACCTTCGTCCTGACCGGTATCCCGGGCATGGAGGAGTCCCACATCTGGATCTCTGTCCCTTTCTGCCTGATGTACATCACTGCACTGTTCAGCAACTCCGTCCTGCTCTTTGTCATCGCCACGGAGCGGAGCCTCCACGAGCCCATGTACCTCTTCCTCGCCATGCTGGCTGTGTCCGACCTGATGCTTTCGACCACGACGGTGCCCAAAATGCTGGCGATCTTCTGGTTCAGCGCCCGGGAAATTTCCTTCGACGCCTGCGTTACTCAGATGTTCTTCACCCACTTCAGCTTCATCGTGGAGTCGTCCGTCCTGCTGGCCATGGCCTTCGACCGCTACGTGGCCGTCTGCGACCCGCTGCGCTACCCGTCCACCTTGACCCCCTCGGTGATCGGGAAGATCGCGCTGAGCGCCGTGCTCCGGGGCTTCTGCATCATGTTCCCTCCCATCTTCCTGCTGAAACGACTGCCCTACTGCGGGCACAACGTCATGCCCCACACCTACTGTGAGCACATGGGCATTGCCCGCCTGGCCTGCGCCGACATCAGGGCCAACGTCTGGTACGGGCTGACCACGGCACTGCTGTCCTCTGGGCTGGACGTGGTGCTCATCGCCATCTCCTACGGGCTCATCCTCAGGACCGTCTTCCAGCTGCCATCCCCCGAGGCTCGCCTCAAAACCCTGAGCACCTGCGGCTCCCACCTCTGCGTCATCCTCATGTTCTACACGCCCGCCTTCTTCTCCTTCCTCACGCACCGCTTTGGCCACAGCATTCCAGGCCACGTCCACATCCTGTTGGCCAACCTCTACGTTGTGGTCCCACCGATGCTCAACCCCATTGTGTACGGGGTGAGGACGCGGCAGATCCGCGAGCGCGTGGTCCGCCTGCTCTGCCCTGCAGGGCAGTGTCCCCATCCTGGCTGTGGGAGCTGCTGCTGAGGGAAAGGGGACACGGGTTGGGCTCTGGAAGGCAGCGTGAGGTGTGCTTGCACTGGGGTAATGCGTTTGTCCACCGGGCTCTAGAAAAGCTGAAGGGTTTTTGGATACATGGGCCATCAGCCCCTTCATTGCTACTGATGCTGTCCCTGAGTGCTTCATGCAGCAGAGATGGAACATGTGGGTCGGAAGAAGAAATGTCCATTAAACCACAGTGTCCAATACCACACTCAAAACTCCACGACAAACTGAATCACGGAATCACAGAATAGCTCGGGTTGGAAGGGACCTCAAGGATCACGAAGCTCCAACCCCCACCGCAGGCAGGGCCACCAACCTCCACATTTCACAGCAGCCCAGGCTGCCCAGGGCCCCATCCAACCTGGCCTTGAACACCTCCAGGGATGGACGGGGCATCCACAGCCTCTCTGGGCAGCTGTTCCAGCACCTCACCACTCTCTCTCTAAAGAACTTGAGGTAGACAGTGGTCTCAAATCCTCACATTCCATAGGGACATTTTTTCCTTACAAAATTGTTTCACAGCACAGCAGTGCTCAGTGTAAAGTGCGTGTCCTTTCCTCCCATAATGCCCTTTGATCACCCACCAATTTGTTGTCATACATTCAATTTATTCTTCAACACCAGGAAAGTGTTGTCCAACATTTTCTCACTCCTCACCTTGGTCTACAGAGCAGTTGTACCAATCATACTGTGTTCTGCTTGAAGCTGGTGGTGATCTGCCTCAGTGCAGAGTGAGTGCCAGATGTATCTGGAGCTTCTCAGTCCCCTGGAAGCATCTCAGCCACGGCTCTGTCTGCTCCCATCATGGAGGGAAGCACAGCAGTCCTTCCATCCGCATCTTTCCATCTGGAGCTCTGCATGGCACTGCTTAGGTGAGTGGGATTGCCCTGCTGTCTTGTCCTTATGGCCGGGTCCCAGTGGCCATTCTGGCTCAGTGGTTAAGTGCCAAAATTTCCATTGCCCAAGGGATGAAGAAGAGTAGGGACTGCACCAGAGCCTGGAGACCTTTCTTTCATCTTTCCTTTGTGTTTTACTGGGTGGGGAGTTGAGATAAAGGCTTGCCTTTCCCCCTTGCATCATTCCTGCTCTCTGATCCATAATTTCTACCCCCCACTTGGAGACAATTTTGTGCCTGGGTTGAGCTTGGGGCTTCATGCATCCTGACCAGTGAAACCATCCTCATCTGGGCAGCAACCACAGCCCTCTGAGTGCAGTGATTTGGGGGCTGTGTCTGGAGGCTGATCCTGCAGTCCCACTCCCACAGCAGTGCCAGGAGCCGGGATGCTCTGCTTCGTGTCAGCTGTGAGACCCAAGGAACTGTGCTGTGTGGTGGTGCCAAGGGCACGAGATGGGCAGGATGAGACGGGCAGGGATGCAGCAACCCAACCCTGCTCCGCTCCGGGCCTCCCAGTGGCACATCTGCAAGCTCAAGAGAAGAAGGAGAGAAAGAGATCCAGAATAATAATAAAAAAAAAAGTAATAATTCGTGGCACTTTCAGCACATTTCTTTTTTTCTTTGTGGTTTTATTTTTTTGTGTGTGTGCTTTCATCAAAGCCTGTGAGAGGCAGAGCGGAAATGAAGGTCTGTTCACTCAGGGCTGTTTGCTTAGCAGTGATAACAGAGCTGGTGGAAATGCTGCTCGTATTGCTGCTCCCAAAGCATTTTTGTATCTCTCTTAGCAAAGAGTATTTACGGAGAGCAGCCCACGTGATCTCTGATAGGACACTGCACTGTATCAAAAGCAACAGGTCGGGAGAGCAATCTGGTGTAGCCAGAGCATGAATACATTCAGGCTGCAATTAGATGCTTTGGGGTTTTCAGGGCTGTCACAGCAACGTGGAGGTTGGGGTGAGAATCTGGATGCTCGTGTCTGCAAGAGGCTTTGCAGGGTTCCCCCAGCCCTGCCCAAAGCACGAGCTGGTTGACAAACCCTTCTGCTGAGGAGGTTCTCCCAAAAGATTTCTGACCAGCTGGAGCGGCAGCTGACCCACCATCCAGATTCACCACTGCAGGACAGTTCAGCTCCATGGAGTCTCAACTCTATGGTTATTTTTGCTGTCTTCTCTGCTTCCCTTCTGTTGCCTCTCCTTGATGATGATCTGAGGGGTGTACTTACCTCTACGCACAGCAGCAGTTTGGCCACAAGTGGGTGTGCTCAGGGCACACAAGTTGGAGTCTGCTGCTGGGAATGGCCCCTCTTATCACTGCCCATCCTGGAGTTAGGGAGCAGTGGGACCACCCTCAGCAGGAGCTGCACAGGTGAGAAACAAAGCAGTAGACCCAGCTTCAAAGTGCTTCCAAACCAAGTAGTGGAAAATGCATAGAGAAGAACGATAACAGGACACTGGAGCAGGTTGCCCAGAGAGGCTTTGGATGTCCCCTCCCTGGGAGCATTCAAGGCCAGGCTGGTGGGCTGTGAGCAGCCTGATCTGGAGGGAGGTGTCCCTGTCTATGGCAGAGGGTTGAAACTAGATGATCTCAAGGGTCCCTTCCAACCCAAACCATTCTGTGATTCTGATTCTGTGAACAGGAGAGTGCTGGCCCATAGGTTGGGTCTTGGCATCCCAGTGGCCCGAACAGCACCGTGCTCAGGTTCTCAGCCCTGATGGAGGTGCTGGCTGGGTCAGGGTGCAGATTTCATGGGAAAATGTCCCTGGGTCAATGAATCACCAGCTGTGCAATTAGTGCCCAAAGGGGCATGCATAATGGGGTATTAGCCAGTTGGTTGGGAAGATTTATATTCATAGCATGGTTAAAATGTTAGCTAAATAACCTGCATGAGCTCGTCATGCTTCAGGTGCTGAGTCAGGCTCCGAGCTGGGAGGGGGAACACTCTTCAGCTTTGGTGAGTGCTTCACTGGAGGGAGATGGAGGTAAGCACAGCATTCAGGGTGAACAAAGCCTGAGTGCCACATTTACATTCGTTTCTACCACTGCCTACAAAAGTGCTTTATTAATTGTTCTTCATCTGCAGGCTGCAGTGGGTAATGAATTATAGTAGCAAAGCTGAATGATCTCACTGCGTCTCACTGCTGTCATCATTATGTCTTAGTAAATGTTAATTAATAAAAATTCCCAGTGCACCTGCTAAGTGGAAAGCCACAAATGGCACATCCTGGTACTCTGTTCTGCCCTGATGGGTTTGAGGTCCCCAAAGGCCCTCAAAGGTCCTCAGAGGTCCTCAGAGGTCCTTGAAGGTCCTTGAAGGTCCTTGAAGGTCCTTGAAGGTTGCCATGTTGGGGCCGTGGCAGTGGAGGAGGTGCTGGCTGCGGTTCCTCTGACCTCAGCACCCAACACTTGGTGTGCCTGGGGTCTCTGCAGGTTTCTGGAGGAGAAGCAGTCCCACAGACACATTGCTCTCTCCTAAAATTGGAAATGAGACAAAATCAGCAGTGAGGTTTGCAGCAGGAACGTCTGCTGATCTCCACCAAATTCCTCTCCATCGGGGGTCACGGAAAGCTGAAACAGGTCCTGCTGTGAAGGCAACGGAGCCGTGCCTGTTGGCACCTCATCGCCCCGGGAAGCCCCCGAGCGCCAGCAGGAGGCAGCGACTGCACACACATTAATGTGGTTGGGGCGGTGATGCCTCAGGTGGTTCACTGAGGACAGCCCGGAGGTCTGCAGGGCTCTGCAGTCCCCTTCTCCCAATTAGCGCTCTACCTGTTGACCGTGGGCTGTGAGATCCCCATCGCTCCTGGGGGAGCAGAGCTGACAACGCCCTGCGGAGCCCGGGGAGCACCAAACAAGCACAGCACTGCCATGCTGGGTCTGAGCGGGACGGCACTGCTGGCACCTGAGGGTCGCGGTCCTGCTGGGGTCCCTGTGGGTTGGGTCAAGGTCCTCAGTTCTGATGGGATTTCTGATTCCAGAGGCAGGTTCTGAACTCCTCTGACTCCCTTTGGCTGGGTGCTCTGCCAGCAGCATCCCGGGCAGGATGTGCAGAGTGATATGCATGCCTTCTTTGTGGAAGTAGGGAATTTTCTTTAAAATCCTTCCAGCCCTGAAGATTTTACAGTCACATCACAGCCAAAACGTGTCCCAGAAAGGCATCCATGTGACAGCTGTTCCAGGAGCTCAGCTGTATATTTTGCTCTGGTTCCCACCAGCTGCGGGCAGTTGGGTGCCAAAGACTTCTTACTTCAGAGACTCAAACAGCAGAAACGAGGCTGCCAAGGGAAAGTGGAGGAACCTGAATAGAGGAGAGGAACCTGATGAACCAAACTGCCCAGTATTTAGCTCTTCTAGATGAAATACAGTTCAGAAGTGTGAGTGTCTGAGACCTGAGCCTTGCTTATCACGAGCTCAACTCCCCTTTATGCTGTGTTTCACACACTTGGCCTTCTCCTTGCCAACACACTGATTCACCCAGTGCATTCCTTGACATACCCTCATCTCACTCCCATCTGCATGGAGGAGCTGCCCATGCTTTATTCTGTCGTGATTCAGATCATAGAATCATAGAACCATAGACTGGCTTGGGTTGGAAGGGACCTGAAGGATCATCAAGCTCCAACCCCTCTGCTGCAGGCAGGGCCACCAACCTCCATATCTAATACTAGATCTTCAAGGCCAGGTGGACGGGGCTCTGTGCAACCCAGTCCAGATGGCAACTCTGCCCATGGCAGGGAGGTTGGAACCAGATGACTTTTTAGCTTCCTTCCAACCCAAGCCATTCTGTGAATCTGATTCTGTGATCTTGCCCATTTTCAGCTGCAGATTATCCCTTCCCTAGCCTTTGGGAGCTGTGGTCAGCTGGAAGCCATCAGGTCCAGGAGCTGCTGGAGGCCACCAGACCTGAGGGTTCTGCAGGCATTGCCAAGCCCAGCAAACCCAGACAACAAAACCCACTCCTTCTGCCCTGTGCCAGTGCTAAAATGGAGGAAGGGGATGATGGGAGAAATTGGACACTGCTCAGTTTGACATTAGCTCCAAATAACACAATGAAATGTGAATGTGAGACTTGATCAATAACAGTAAAAAG